CTTCTACTTAATAAACATCTTTTTTTATCAATTGTGGTTATTAGCTATGACTTGATACTTGTAACTTTTCAAAAATTGATAATCTTGCAACAAAAGATTTGGCAAATAATTTGTTAGAGCTACATGCAATATTGAAGGTGTAATTAAAGGTAGTTCAAGAATGATAAAAAATCAATGCACATGTCTATCACAAGGAACAATCACAATTTAAAATGGATGATAAAGTATGGTTACTTTGTTGCAATATCAAAACTACTTGTCCTTATGACAAAGACTATTGTAGGCTTAAACCTTTTTTTATTTATAAACTAGTCAATCTTATTGCTTGTCAATTATATCTATAAAAGTCTAAAAAAATCTATCATGTATTTCACTTGTCTCTTCTCAAGTCATATAAGACAATGAATATCTCAAAAAGATGACAAATGCTACGTCCTCCTATAGAAGTTGATAATAATCAAGAATTATAAATAAATAAAGTCTTAGATTCAAGGCAACACAAAAATAGATTGAAATATCTTATTTATTGGCGTACATATGATATTAATAAATTCATTTGGGAACTAGCAAAGAATCTCACAAATATAGCAAAGAAAATTGAGGCTTTTTATTGACGATATTAATCAAAACTAAGCTGAAAAATAATAAGATCCATATAAGATCCATGTAAAATGATTGTTGTTTATAAAACTTGTATCTAAAAAGAAAAAATAATATCAAGGACATACATATTTACACTAATAATTACCTATATAATTAAATAGAAGTAAATAAAAATAGATTCATTTTATAATATTTTCTAGAAAAGCTTTCTGGAAGCTTCATAGATGCAATTTTGACTTTATACATATTTATAGTTGATTAGTAGGTTAAAAACTTGATCAAGAAGTTAACCATGTATCACACAAATTAGTAGCTTATAGAATAAGCTAACTATATTGCACACATATAAAAAACTTGCCTTGATAGTATATATATATATATATATATCATTAAAATAAATTTTAGATTATTATAAAATATAATTTTTATGAGATGATTGTTTAAAATAGAAAACTATAATATATATAAAAATATAAAATCAATAATAATAATAATAATAATAATAGATAATTTTAAATTTTAAAAATAGATATTGTGTTTTATATTTTATGTTTGGATGTTAATTAGTAGTATCCAAATGATTGGCATCTAATCAATATTGTAGTTGATGTCAAATTTTATTTTTATGTGGAATCAATGACTCTATTCTTATTTATAAAATTATGTTTACAAATGTATGTCTATAGTTCTCAAAATATCCTATTCAAAATGTTGTTGTTTTTGTTTTTGTTTTTTTTTTGTTTTTTTTCTTTTAAAAACCAAGCTTTTAATTAAAATACAAGTCCAAAATTTTTATTTTTATTTTAAAAAAATCAGTTATTATTTCCAAAATGAAAAAATCACAAAATTAAATATTGATAGTATTTTATTTTATTATTCTATGATTATTCTATAATTATTTTGCATGAAAAAATAAATATAAAATGCATTTTTATGTTCATTATTTCAAAAAGTGACTACCAAATACTCACCCAAACAATACTACTAAAAGAAATAGTTAATAAAAACTGTCCCTTTACTTGAGCTGCTAATTCCACCTCCACGGAATACCACATCACCACAACGTTACTCGGGAAAAAAGTTAAAAGCAAAAGCAAATCCACAAGTTTTTGTTTACTTTTTGTGTTTTTTTTGGGGGGGGGCTTGCCCGCTGCCCCAAAGTGACAAGGGACCATGCAGAACAGGTGGCAACGGGCAGGCTGGATGCGGGGGACGAAGAGGCTGTGGATCTTCTTCCATCGCGTGGGAGGCGCGTCGACATTTCCAATCAATCGTGAGCTTGATGGATTTGCCAAAATTCCTCGCCATGCTCGTATGCGACTTCACTTTGGTGATTGCATCGACAGTAGGCTGTACCCGATGGCCATCGCTGCAATCCGGAGGCTCTTGTAGCCATTTCGAACGCCTCTGTGCTGTGTGTGACTCAGATCCGCGGTGGGCTTCGAGATCTGATCCAAAGTTCTTTCTGCCTCGTACACTTCCAGTTCTTCGACTTGTGTTGGAAGCGAACTCGTCAACTCTTGCGTCTTTTTAACTGCTAGTTGTCAACCTGGAGCTGGTTCGAAAAACTGCAGGAATTCTACAGAGAATTGGTGAGCCACAACTGACTATGTGAAGCGTGTCATGGTTGACTCGTGAAATTCCAGGGGTTCAAAGTAGGTGGTCGCAGCCATAGAAACTGGGATGGGAGTAAGAAACGAAACGAATGAGGTAGCGAACCGAATTTGACGGCTTTAGCTTCGTCGCATGCAGTATCGAGAAAAGTGGCAACTGTCAACGAGAGTATAGTTTTCAAGTCATCTCCGTTAGGGCAGTCATAGCTACGCAACTCCACTCACAATCCACCTCAGCGTCGCTAGTGTGGGTTGAGTCCCCTCCCGCACGCATTGCAAGAGACATCGCAAGGGAAGATACTTGAGGGGTGTCGACATTGGCCTCTTCAAAATAAAATTCGTGACAGCTGAACCCCGATTTTGCATTGTTTGGTGGCGGTGATTCTTTTGATAAGCTGGGTTTTAATTATCGCGTCCTCGCGATGGCACACATTCTAAGAGCCTTGTCAGTTTTGGCCTTGATACTCGTTGCATTATCCTTGGGAGTCCGTGAGGTGGACGCTCAGCTTCAGTACGGCTTATACAGGTAATCATGTCCTCGAGCAGAAAAAATCGTACTCGAGGAGATCTAGAGATACTTTAAGAGGGACCCGACCATCGCTCCAGGACTGCTACGCTTGACATTCCACGACTGTTTCGTTTGCGTAAGCACCGCACGTCTAGCCTCAAAGCACCATCTGGTTTCGTGATGCCTCAGTAACTGCAATGCCATATGTTCATTCTAGATTTCATGACAAGCGATGAGGCGTGCCATGAAATTCTGAATCAGTTTCACACTAAAGACTAGTTTGTGATTTCTTCTGTGCATGAATAAGATAGAATTTGGAATGAGTTGCATTGTAGCCATCTACGGGCCTGAATCTTGTTCGGAGGGTTGCGACGCATCAGTTCGTTTTGTCGGGAGAAACACTGAACGAGCGTCTCATATGAACGCCAGGTTGCATGGATTCCGAGTAATTGACATAGCCAAGCACTGCCTAGAGAAGGCTTGTCTCAGAACCGAGTCGTGTGCTGATTTTTTGGCGTATGCCTCCCGCAACGCAGTTGTACTGACCGGTGGAAAGTGCTGGCAGGTTGTCGCAGGACGGAGAGATGGAAGAATCTCGAATAAAATCGAGCTCGAACAGAACATTCCTCCGCCCACCGCCGGGGTCGATGAGCTCGTTTCCACATTCGCACAGAAGGGACTGAACACGCAAGACATGGTTGACTTGTCTGGTATATATGTTCATTCTGCAGCCTGTTTGGAAGTGATGTCTGGTGAGAAAACAAAGACTCCAAATTCTTCTGACAAATGTGACGTCGTCACGGTGGAAGATGGGAGCTACAAGACATGAATTTCTGAAAGAACAAATGTGAAACAATATCTACAAAGGATTTTTGCTGAACATCATGGATTGCATGCAGCTTCACTTCCGAAAAGATTTCAACCTGGAATTCCTCCACCCTAATACTGCCCTAGAATCACGTCGCCCTGGGTACATATGCAGGTACACCTGCAAAATGGATTTGAATGATGCGAAAATTTGCTGGTATCCCATTCAAACCGCTTACTTGTCAACTTCAAATGACTGAAATTCGAATTTTAAAAATCAGCGTAAACTAGTTTCTGCTCTGACACCGCCTTCGGATTTCCCCCAGGCGTCACTTTGGGCTGATTGTGTTGGAGCTATAACATGGCAATCGCGAAGTCGTTTCTGAAGGTTCTTTGCCACAAGTTCTTTTCCACGAATGGGCGGGTACTCTCCTGGCGATAGAGTCAAGTCACGATAAGCAGAGACACGGCCCGGGTTAGTAGAGAGAGCGTCTAATGTTAGTGTTCAGCTCATGGACGATTGTAATCATGTGTAGCAGAGGCCGGATTTGAATTCAGATACGTTTACAGCTTCGAAGACAACTCAATACTCAATTGTTCCACAGGTTACGGTGTGGGGTATAGTAGACAGCAGAAAGCCAACACGATGCATTTTAAGGACGGACACTGGACTGGCAATGTACATATTCGGCTTGCAGTCCAGACGCCGAAGCATCAAATGCTGCCAGCGATTGAAATCAGCGACTGGTGCCAAGGCATTGCAGTGTGTGAAGGGTTAACGGTCCGATCGGAGGAATATTACTGTAGCAGATGTCTGCCTGCAAGGTTAGTCTTGTCTATGGTCCAGTTGCCTTTGTTAGCCAGGGCGACGCAGTGACTATATATACTGCACTTCATCACTTCCAAACTTGTCATTACGGAGTGCGCAGTATTTCAAGCTGCAGTACTTGCAAGTAAGAGCCACGTCGGCTTCACTGTTGGACTGGACACAGGATTACACATTTTCTACTGGGATGGATTTCCCTGCCAAACGTTCTGAGTCCAAATCATGAAAATATTACACAGTAAGCATTGCTTCAGAACTCCGGTGGATGGTAAGAAATAAATCTATATAATGCAGATAAAAATTTATTTCGAAATACAACACTCGCTGATCGGTAGTGCGAGGCTTTTCGTAAAAGTCCACCTCTGATTCCAACACAGCGTAGCCCAAAAACACTGACGGACAATGGATTTTATTTCTTTGATGAGTTCCTCCATTCAGACTTGATGGTTCATTCAAATATTCCCACATTTAGGCACTCATTTAACTGTCACTTTCTGACACTAAAATAAAAGATTGCAGTTGAGAGCATGCACTGCAAATGAAAGACAAACGTTGTGAAACATGTTAAGGGTTACACCTAGCATGCCACTCCATCCAACTCTTGTATGGACGATACAAAGCCCCACATACACATCTTTTAATCATTTTGGGTCCAAGATCGTACTTCCACTTGTTAGTTCAAAAAAAATGAATGTCCGCATCACAATCTTGGGCAATTCAAAGACCCTGAACTTAGAAAAACCCAAAGATACGTACATGTGGCACCAGAATCCGGGCCAAGCCTTAAAACTAAGAGCAATGCAATCTAAATGATGCCAATCTTGTTGGCAACATCAAGAGCGTCGTAATCTGCCGTCAACCTCACATAAGCCTTCTTCGCTCCATCAGGTCTGGGGAAAAAAACAGGATACGTCAGCCACGTAGATGAGAATTGAACGGCGACTTACGCATTGCACCCAGTTTTCCTACCAGACGAGCGTCAGTAACTACACGAGGCATACTATGTCCCAGTCCAAGCAAAAAATAACTAAGCGTTCTGGTGCACTGACAATTCAGCTACGAGCGGTTATCTGCCTCCAATTGTATGCGACCTAGATAGAAGCAAGTGGGCATAACACATAAGTACATGCTATACTTTACAGTAACCTGTCACTCAACGGTGTGAGAGAACCTAGACTATCTAAGAAGTACGCAGGCTCTATGTAATCCGAGTACAAGTCAATACCTAGACTGAGGGTAATCGACCAGTAATCAAAGTTCCTTTGCAGGCAGCCGACTCGAGACAAAATTGAGGAATGATACAAATGTATTTGAAGGGGGGTAATGAGTGGCTAGGTTGGTTTCGAAAACTTGAGTTCTGACGCACCTGAAAGACTAGCATTACTAGGTCAATGACGAACCTCCCATTTAATGCCTCGTACATGGAATGAACCACTAAGGTGGCTAATGGGAGGTAAAACGATTCAAATCTGCTAATGAGTCCGCGAAAAGAGTCGACCCATGTGGGAATAACATATCAATTCAATCGCGAAGAGACTGAAACGCTTAACCCTAACGCACTGGAGGACATAACAACAAAGGGGGGATAATGAGTACCTGATCAATGTGTTGACCTTCTTGGTCTGGATGTCATACATCTTCTTGACAGCCTCCTTGATCTTCTTCTTGTCAGCCCGCACATCAACAATGAAAACCAAGGTGTTGTTGTCCTCGATCTTCTTCATGGCGGACTCGGTGGTGAGTGGGTACTTGAGCACCTCGTAGTGGTCAAGCTTGTTGCGGGCAGGAGCGCTCAGCCGTGGGTACTTCGGGGCTCTGGCACGCTTGAGGGTCTTGGGGCGATGGAAGGTCACAGAAGTGCGCACCTTCCTCCAGAGCTTTTTCACCGGCTTGGTGGTGGTCTTCAATGCCTTTGCAGCCTTCGTTGCCTTCGCCGTTTGCGACGCAGGAGCCTTGGCAACCTTCGAAGGGGGAGCCATTGCAAACACCAGAAGGAAACGATGCGCAGCTCTGCTTCGACGAGGGCGGCCTGGGATCGTGCGAAAGAACTAGTTGACGGAGGGTTAGGGTTTTACACCTCCCCTGCCTCACACATCCACTCACATCCTCACATTCGCTAAATGATTCATTCATCCATTTAGGGCTTTCCTATTGTGCTTCTCCGCCATGACCCAACAGTCTTTGATGTCAGAGTTTCCCCTCGAGGCTCTGTTGCAGGATGTTCCATCAGTTTGCTGCTGAGTTTGCTAGGCCCAATAGTTAAAACCCCGCCGTCTCTTTTTACTAACTACTATCATGCAGTAATGGTAATAGAGTGCTGTTGTGTTTTTAATAGTGTTTTGATTCTGAGAGTATCAAGCTGGAACATGGCGTTCAAGTTGTATATTGCTCACGGATCATTGAACAAGAAATCCACATGTTGAGGGACTGTCGATTCTGAAGTTGTGTTGAAACGTGTAATGGGTTTAATGAATGCGATGCTCGTCACACATGATTACGATGTATATAATACAAGGGATTTTTTTTTATATACATCAAGATGCTCAATGACTACTAGGTTCTTGATGGTTCGGAGTGTATTGCTGAATAGCTTAGATTGTTTTATCTTCAATTTTCAGAAAAGAGCTGAGGGTGCATTTACGCGTCCGAAACTACGCAAATCACTATCTCCTCGACTGCAGTTCTGCAGTGCTATGACATGATATTTTGTCCAACACCCGGACATGTACTGTACAAAATTGAAGGATTGCTTTAGGACCTTCACAATCAAGAGTGAGGCCGACGCCAGGCTTTTGCTAGAGCGTTGCGGTGTGGGTATACATGCTTCCTCACGGCACTCAATGAAGGTATCATTCCAAATTCCTGACGCTGTCACCATCTGGAGTTCGGAAAGTCCTCATACTCGATCACCCGCCTCCGCTTCGTCACTTAAACAAACGCAAGTTGAACGTTTGGACATGAGAAATTTCTCCGAGAAACTTCACCACAGTGTCTCTGGAAATCATGATTATATGAGGTAACCCTAGCCTTCGATCGTAGGTGCAGAAGCTGTTGCTAAATTTGTTGTAGGAGTGCTACGAATCTTCCACGCCCTCACCGATGTTAGCTCCAAGAACGTTGTTAGAGGGTAGTCCGCTGGTGGTGATCAGGCCTTCTACGTCCAAGAATCCCTCTTCGCATTTCTCATCACCACTTGAACTCTCACCTGCGCTCACGGGAGCGGTGCGTATTTGCGTTGCAGCAACCGAGGGGTTAGCCTCCATCACAGAGAGGTCAGGCACAGTGGTGTCAGGAAGACCTATGAAGGGCAGAACCGCTTCAGGGGCCAGAAGCGCCAACTTGTGAGATTTTCGGCTGCGCGGTTTCCTGTGTACGCGCATCTTGCCCCTGTGGATTGCTTCTTCCCTATTCTTCGTCCACGGCTCTTGTTTCCGGTCTGTTCTTCGCGTTGTATCAAAGCGCTCCACAGAGGGTGCCCTTGTGTCATCTTCGTCTTGCTGGCCAGCATTTGTAGTGGAGTCAACATCCAGTAGCCGAGTCAGATACTTTACAAAAGGATCTTCATTGGGAGAATTATCGTGTGGGATGACGTTTGAGTTGAAGTGAATGGGGTCTCAAGTACCTGAGCTGCCGAGTCTCCAGTATCTGCCGCAGAGATCTCGAAGTTTTTAACAGCGCTTTCGGAGTAGCGTTTGATCCCAGCTTGTGGCGACGTCCCTGAAATCCATGACTTAGATCTCGTACCACTGTACTCTTGCATTTTTACCTGGAAGTGCTTGATGCTAGGAATGTGCGATACTTTTCGAACGGCCAGCGTTGGCGAGGAGACATTAGTGCCCGTCCCAGCTGCAACTGCTTGAGCGATCGCCGCCTCCTCGTCTCCGACGCACCCAGCCAAGCGGATGCTTCGTCTCCGCCTGCGTTGGAAAAATGTTGCTGCAAATGCTCTTCGAATTATTGCCACTTGCGTGATGGACTCGTCGCGCTCAACTTGTAACTCTGCAAGTGCTCTTTGCAAGTCTTGGCATTGTTGCTTATACCTGCATATCATACCGCCGCACCGTTACATTTCTTACAGGAATACATTTTCCATGGGCTTTAAATTGAATTCGAGAGAAAAATTTGGCGCAGTAGCATACGTGAGAGGCCGAACGTAGAAGCGCATGACAATGGTGTCCTCAGTTGGCTGCAGATAGCCTTCTTTCTCCAGAAGATCAATCCTGAAGAATTGGCAGTAGCCCCAACATGCCCCCATCTGATATACGCACCAGCTCAAGCTTTAGGATTTAGGACTCAAGGTTTAGACTTTTACAACAACCATACAGCTTTAGAACTTCTCTAAAGCAAGTTTACTGGAAAGAGGTTACGACAACGTTGTAGAGTGCAAATTCATAATGTCAAGCTTGCCTCGAAATCGGAGGAAAATTTTCGAATTATCCGCTGGTTAGGTCGCGTGGGGTGCAGGAGCTCAATGCCATACTCGTAAGTAGCTGGTTCGTGTCCGCCCTTCACCATCTGATGCACAAGCAAGCCAAACCAGGGTTAGAGAGAGTTCGACTAGGAGAAAAGCTGCGCCATGATGAATAGGTCCCTGAACATGTTCAGCATGCAACGTTAACCCAAAATATTACATTGGGATTACCATGTGTAATACTACGCTCATTATAGGACGTGCACAATCAAGTAGTCAAAACGAAAATACAGACTTACCTCTAAAAACACCGAGAGATGAGTACCCTGAGAAGCGCCGCTGCCGTTCGGATACACCTATAGCACACGCGTATTTTGGAGGCTTCAGTGTACAAGATGGACGATCGCTTACAAGGCAGTTAAAGACTGAGAAACAATTCAAAGATTGAATAAACAAACGAAGGGTAGAAAATATCGAGAATACCTTCAGCCGCCATGCAACACCTGAAGCACAAATAGGCTGCATTCAAAAGTACGACACGTGAATGAGAAGGCACGCTTCTTTCAGGGTATGTGGGAGAAATTAAATGACCAGCTAGGCACAAACGCAAGTTTCTCAAGCTTGGGGATCATCCATCGCTGCAATCAGAAAATTAAAACCATCAAAGAAGAAAAAGTGTGTGAGAATGCAATACCTTGCTGTATACAACATCCTTATTCAACAGAATTTGACTGATGTTGGGAGTGCCGCCTGGTACGAAAACAGCGGATCTGACTTGACTCAGATTTTCCTTGTAGTTCTTCAAAACGAGTTCACCGTACTCATATGAAGGCACAACCTACACAGCCACGAAATCTTAGTGAATCGAGGTCAAGAAATACCACGCTTATATTTGTCTACAAGAACATATAAAATGAATGAAGGGCAGGGTTCCGTGATAGGGTACCTCAGATATGAACTCTGAGGGGATAAGCGAGCGCGAGACATGTGAAAACGTGCGAGTCCGAATATCCTGAAGAACCAAACAAAAGTTTATCCTTCTATGCTTACAAAAGTAGCACAATGGTTCACATGCGTGCTTCTGAGAACAATCAGCTAGGCACGGGTGGAGCACAAACCAAAAAAATAGAGGTAGAAGGCCAACCTGTAACATGCGGCTCATGTTAGGTTCCTGCGCTATAAGGTCGCTCTTTGGAATACTGCTCAGCTGCTGATCTAGCTCTTGCAATATTGTGTCGAGAAGTTCCATCTGCGTCAGTCAAATACGAGGTACTCCATCAATGCAAAAGTCATGACAAGTGCTCCACCATACAACCGACACTTGTTCTGATGCATTTGCATTAAATTGGTGGAAAGAAAGAAGGAAAACAATGGAAAAAATGAGGTCAAGCTCGCAGAGATATTCTCTCTCTTCCGATATGTAATCGAGTTTGGGATCAACAAAACACATACGTACTTCTTGAGTCATGGAGGCCTTGTGCGAAAGTAACGCCAGGAGCTTGCACTTGAGCTGCTCTTCAAGCCGAGACTGTGTTACCACATACCATCACAAAATCAGATTCTCATACATCTTGTTATTCACTGTAAACAATGGTCATCTACACCTAAACGAAACAGCCCGTGATGCAAACAATGTAGACCAAGTAAGGTAGAGGGATTCACCTGCATCTTTTTAAATGCCACTTGCAACTCTGCAACAGACTCGTCCTTCGACTGCATGACAAGCAGGAACGCGGTTGAGTAATCATGTCTAGACTGCTGATTGATTCAATCCAAACGATGAAATACTCAGAAGAATTGATTTCAAAGCATTCACCGTCGCCCAGGAAGATGGATGTAATACAAACCTTGAGCACACTCTCGATGTTTTTATCCACTGATGCCACCAACAAAGAGAGCTCCTGCAGGACAGATAGGGAAGTGAGATCTCGGGGTTGTGGAACAATGAGCACACTCATCACTACTTTCAACAATTGGTGTTCCACTAATCTGGGATCAGGGTGACGTTCTGTGCCTTTCTGCGCCTGCGTAACCCAGCGGCTTCCATTCGAATCTTCTTCTTGTGACGACCGTAGGCCACACTCAACTTCTCAAATGTGTGATTTCGGTGATCCTGTGCACCCGAACAAGACATCAAATCAGAGAGTGGTAATTGACAGCTGCAAAGAGGTTTCAACAATTGCTTTAGATTCTAAGCTTCAATGTCTTTGTAAAGAAACAAAACTCAAGTTGGAGGGAGAAGTTATACCTCAATCAAGACAGCACAGTCTGAGCACACAGCGACTGCGCATGTGCTACAAAAGTAGAGAAGTGGGCTATCATGAGCCGGACAGTACTGCAAGTTTTCGGCAACCCACATGGCAAATACATCAGCTAAGACAAGCCGAAACACACACTCATGCATGAATGTCAATGCTGAAGCAGAAAGGCTCTACCATTTCCTCGAAGACTTGCGATATTAGATAGGAACACATGATGTACCTTTTCCATTGGACTGTCACCTAGCTTTCCTTGAATCTTCTCCACTTCCTATCATCCACCAAAAAAACAATGCGTTCAACGTCTCCACAAATACAGAGATTCATATTGCACATGAAAAGAGGTTATTTTCACAAACATGATAGACAACTTTCAGAATATCGGTAAAAATGTCATACAAATCACACTCATAACATCTGTTATGAGTTGTAAACCGGTAAATATGTGGGACAGAGAAAGAGTCGGGATCCTTACCGTGGATATTTCGGAAATGAATCTGCAACTCACGAGCTGCGATACAAGGAGAGGTGCCCGGCAGTGTGGGCACTCCGATTTCTGGTCTGTGAGCCATCTCTGCACATAGAGTCACTATTCAGTGCCTAAGTTTCTACAGAAATAATGAGAGAGCAGTTTTCCTTGCTTTAACGTGCCACAAACCGCCACAAGTTGAAGTATATTGAAGTGACTAATTAAATTCCATGAAACAATAATTGGAATGTAGTAAAGTAAGACACCGCTAACCTTGATGCACGGCTGACACACCAGCTTCGAACAGCAAGGACACAGCTGAGCTTCGACAACCTGAAGAAAGCAAATAGTGTGAGCGTAGAGACCAAACCCTAATGATCAAGACATTCAAACAAGCTTATGAATTGTTATCACTTTAGCGGAACTCAACAACAAATAAGCTTGAAAAATGGATGCGAGACGACACGGACAATCAGTCACCTTTCCGAGACAGATGAAGCATCGAAAAATATCGGCCAATGCGGAAGACGAATCGTTGTCATTTTCAGCAACCACAGGTGAGGCTCCTTGACATGCCACAAAATCTATCTCTCTGTCAATGCCCACGTCCTCCACCTCGTTCTCGGAGGGCTGCAACAAAGATGGTTCACTAACATCGTTTGAAACTGAGAGTCCTGATGCGCTTCTGTAGTCGACAGTGTCTTCAGGTTCCGTCACTGGAGCAAGTGCCGGTATCTGCTCGTTCTGTGGTACAACCATTTGCTGAGACTCAACAGGTTCAGACGGGTGCCTCTGCCTTAGCGAGTCATCATCTAAGAGAAGCCGCTGTACTTGAGCCTGCAACCAAACATGAATTCCAAATTGTACCCACTTATTAGAAAGGCAAATGAAGATAAATTGGGAAATTGGCAGGTCGACCTATCCTCAAGGTACTACTGCTCCGCCTCTTCAAAACAACAGTACGAGTGGGCATAACCACTAATTCAAGGCTGTAATGGTATCCTGAGGTAGTTCCAAGTCTAGGTTATTCATTGTCAACTTGTGACGGTGTTAAAGAGAATACGATTACGTTCATAGGAAGGAACAAAGCAATGCTCAGATCTATCAAGTAAAATAGAAACGAAGTAATTGCTGGTCCATTCTGTCAAACCGCTGCTCAGTAACTGCCACTGTTCCCACCACTGAACTCCGAGATTAGCATTTGAAGGTTCTCTAACTTCAACTCCAAGGGCGTCCATAGTTCATTAACCCTTCCCACAATCCGAATTTTCAAGAACTTCGTTCGCGTTGGAACTACTGAGAACTATTCTCTTCCCAGCCGACTGTGCCCAGAAAGTTATCGCAAAAAGAGAACTGCGAAACAAAAAAATTATAGCGTAGGGATTTGGAGCCAAAGCAGTACCTGGGCTGTTTCACTGATGCTGCTTTCGCAAGAGTCATGGTTATGACTGGTGCTACGAGCGCCAGGCGGTCGAAGTCGCAGCCTCCCGCGCTGGCCAAACAAGAATGAACCGCAATCTGTGCAATCATAGTCCAGGGTGTGGAATGGAGACGTGGCGATGACGGGTCCGGAAACTAGACGGGTGCAGGTGCTGTTGTTGCTTCTGGAGTTTCTACCAGTTCCTCGCAGGGTAGCAGCCGCAGCCATTGAACCTCGCAGCTCAAAGCTTCCAGGTCGAAAGGCAAATTGATGGCGCCCTCAATTGGGTGCAGACATCCTGGTTGCGAGGAAGTCCACAGAAAAATTAATCTAAACCTGTGATTCTGGAAAGGGTCCTCGCAGTAATTCTTCTGGCATGCATGTGACCCAAAGCAGCAAATCTCACTCTCTCAATCAGAAGTAAAAAAATTGGGCTTGTGCAACACGAAAGATGGCCCTCAATTTGGTTGACAACATCGCGCACACTAAAACAAAAACACCAGTGTAACGAAAAAGAACAATTACTTGTTACTTGTCGATGAGGTAGTTCTACGAACAATGCTATAATTATGCAGAAGCCACAAAGGATAGCACAAACAATCACGAGAAGCATCTACGATTTCTTCCGTATCTCAAAGAGTGACTCTCGCTCTAAGCCCTTAACCCAGCTGAGTTTAGATTGCAGAATAGAAGCACGAGCATGGTCACGCCAGATAGATACCTCAGAGAGAACAGGGAGAACAGGGTGGTCACTCTTTGACTAACTCAAAACAAACGCCGATGTTACATTGCGATCGATTCGCGTACACCTTTCACGACCAATCACGCCTCCTACGAATCCATCCTCAAGTGGGGGAAATGGTGAGAGATCAAGACTCTAAGTTCGCTCCGCTTACCTCACGCGAAGGTCTGCGCACGGAACCCAACCGATAGACGCCATGCGAAGACAGCCTCGCTGCACACACCAGAATACTGGCAAAATATGCGCGTGTGTTCACTCCCCCAGGGAATCTGCACACGCCTACAAGGTCTCCACCTCGCCTGTCATCGAGTCACTGAATTGGCAACATATCGTGGGGAGCCTGACAGTAACCAGCAGATCATGAAGTAGTCTGCCACTGTTCTGTTGTGCTGTAATACAACATTTAACATTGCGGCATTCTGAATGTGAGACGGCCTGATAAACCTGCCATCAATCCTACGCACCTCCCAGGATTATGACACCCGGCCATGTCGCCTTATTGGCAGGCAGCACCACTATGCTTCGCCGAATTTGGGCACAATTGAGCGGTAAAGAAAAACCCCCCAAACTCCTCCAACAATTCTCCGTCTCCCTCGAATTCTTCGGCAGCCTCGCACTCGCGCCCTCGGATCTCCCGCAGTCACAGTCACGGGTTTTTACTTACCCCTGGCGTCGATAAATTAGCCGCTCTTTACCGCACCAAGAAAATTGCAGACAATGCTAGCTGGTGCTTGGTCCAAGTGCGAACTTATAGCATTACAACCCCACTTCGATTCCGCGACATCCGAGCCGGGTAAAGCCAAACTTTAATGCTAATCATGTGGATAATCGCAGCCTGTCCATTGTGGCGGACGCACCATTGAATGCTACAGTTGCAACTGGGATTCTTTGACTCCCTCCCAGCGCACGATTTCATCCTCCCCTTACTTCCTCCGCCCTTCTTCCCTTCCCTAACTCCACCACCTCATCCATCACTTACACTGTCCTCCTCGTTGCCGGTGACAAAACAAACAAACACGCTCCGCCACTGCCGAACCTGAAATCGCCCGCCATCTCTCTCTCTCTCACTTCCCATTTCCATTTCTAGTCTGGTTGCGACGGAAGCCGCGTCACGCAGAGTAAGTGAGCGAGCGAGCGAGCGATGCGACTGCGCGCAGAGCAGATCGCCATGCTCGACCATCGTCAATGAATGCGAGTCGGGAAATTTGCGCAGCGTCAGGCTGGGTGACGAAGAAACGGCTGCGGTTATTTGTGGCGGCATGTGAACTCTCTCTCACCCCGCCATAGCCCCCCTTCGCCCCCGCTGCACGTGGTAATTAGTGTCGCAACGCTCCTAATTCCTCACCTTTTACTTTTCTCCTCCTTTGCCGTTTCCTCTTCTTCGTCTTTAAAGGAGATGGCCGTTGCTTTCTCTAGCCTACTACGCTCAATAATGGACGTGGGATATCATTTGGGGATGATCTTGAGGGGAAGGGTGAAATTGTAAAAAAAGAAAGGAAGTGGTGTGATTCAATACATGGCGAGTGTATCACAGGATTCGCACCCCATTTTAATGTGTGTTGCTGATTGACATGTTTAATGAATGTTTATTGGATTGTTGTAGGAACTCTACATTGGTTGTGGTTCTTTACTTGTTTAAATTTTGCTGAAACGTCATAACATGTACTTGTGGAAAAAAAAATCTTTTTTTTTAATGATACAGTGGTTTGTATTATAATGTCTTGATGAGCTGGCAAGGGGACGTGGACGGCGTCACCAGGTGGGAACGCACTGGTCATTGCCAACTCAGATCTGACGTGGAATAGGATGCATATGAGGTCCAGAAAAGGGGTTCCCAGAAGGTTGATCCCTGGGTTGGGTCTTGAAAGTGTGGAAGGGGGGGGGGGGAGGGGGGCGGGGACTTCCGGGAGAGAGGTCGTGCGAGCATGCGGCTGGGATATAAATAGAATGTAACAGTAATAGATCCATCGTATGGCAGCCCACTATTTCTATAAATAGGGACCATAATCGGGCCTTTTTTTTTGAATGGAGCCCCCACGTCCCCCCCCCACCTCCAAAACCCCCACACAAAAATGTAAAGTAAAAGGTGTCGAAATTAAAGCGAATGAAAAAGAAAAAAATGTTTCTGCCGACTTTTGGATGAATGTTACAGGATTTGGATGATGTTTGGGTCATGATCCGTGGAATGTTGAGTCATGTCAATGCTTCACTTTAAATTTTTACTTTTTTATCAACCAACGACATAATATATTTCTTTTTTTGTAGAAAACTGTTGTGGACATATTTATTTCTTGATTTTTTTTTAAGGAATACAAAAATGCCCCAATGGATGTTAGCTTCCTTGTAATTTTTTTGGTTATATACTAACAAATGTTACAATTCATAAAAAGCATACTTTCAAAGTTGTGACATGGTGTATATTCTTTTGATATTTCAAATAAAAAATAACTTAATAAGATTTAGTAGTGTTACTCAAACATTATTTTGGAGTTAAGGTCACCAAAAGGTAAACTATGAAGTCCACTTCAATGCTTTGTGTGGGGGGCAATGGATTGTATTGAAAATTTCTGATTGTAGAAATATTATAAAATTTGTTTGTGGCATTTGATGGAATATCGGGGTTGGTTGTCAAAAAAGATTACAAAAATTTATTATCCAAAAACTTTGCAAAGTTTGGTGTTCCATATTGCAAGTGTGGATTAAAGTTTGAATAGACATATAAGGAAAAAAAATTACAAAATTATTAAATAAAAATATTCAATCATGTAACAATATTTAAAATTTTCCTCATAGTATTATGATCAAGAAAACATTAACAATTTTATTGTAAGTATAAAAGCAAATCTCAATTTGATCTTATCAACTAATTTTGCTCAATGTAGCACGTTATTTTTACAATGTATTGCAAAATTTGATAACACATACTTTAATCACAATAATAAAAATTATGTTTAAGATATTTCATTGTGCAACAATTCTATAGTATTCAAATCCATTTTTATACTAGCATAAGTAGTAAAGTGCACACGTTAATTTGAGTTTATAACAAATTTGTATTCAACTATTATTTAATCATTTAAATAAATGAACAAATAAATAAAACCATATACATATGTGTATATATGTACATAGATATATATATATATATATATATATATGTTTTGAAACATACACATTCTTTTGGTGCCTTTACGGTTCACAATAAACTTCCTGTACATTGTGAGTCTCATGTAAACAACTTTCGCAAATATATTTAATGGAAGCATGGCCACATAATTTTTAGATGCTCAACAAATCAGACTTCAGATAATTTCCACTTACAGTAAATTGTACAATTACCTCACATGCTTTTAAGTTCCCATGGCAAATGTCAGCGTGTAAACTTCAACGTTATCTTGGGAATTTATTTCTTTCTCAACACATGATTGATCAATACCCTCAACCTTGCTGAAATGATTCTCGGTCCACAAAGCTCAGAATCCTTACATTAAACAATCTTACCCCAAAATCACGATTTCTTCTAATAACTCATGAAATTGAGGGTTTGACCTAAACTAAAAATCAATTGGAAATGCTTCTCATCAGTGTGAAATTGGCAATGCTGGCACAGTTGGTTTCCGCAAGCTCCAGAATGGCACAAGATGATGATAGCGATCTCCACAAGTTCATTCAGTAGAAAGCCGATAAGTGAAGCTTTCTGACGAAGTCCCATAAATTGTAGCTACTAAAGCGATTTGACAATCTTTCATTAAGTCGTGTACTAGTATATCCCTCATTGGCATAAGCCCTAGTGGTCGTAATGCATGGCTTCAGTTTCACCGTAGTGACTTAAAGCACTAGGTCTCTACTGAGTGCTGAATAGTGTTCAGTTTAAAGCTACCTATTTTCGATCTGGATACTGTTCATTATCACATACCGTTTTGAAAGGTTCGTATTCTTTCACACAGACGAAGAAGTAAGGAGCAAGAAAGAAGTAAGAAACATTTGGTTAAAACCTTAAAAACAAGGAGATCGCACATTGTATCAAGAAATTTGGCATTCATAATCTTAACGTCGGGGACAACTCTCATTGTGCTGTATCTCAAGATAAAGTATTACTAAGTGATGGGACTCAAAAATATGACGCAGCGTCGTTCACTCACTTTGTTTAATGAATACGTCAAATGATGATTTCGTTACAAACTTGAAAGTTTCAGGTTGAAAATTCAACCTGAAAAGCTCCAAAAGCAACTCTCTTCTCAAGACAAGTCACGAGAGTGAAAGACACGAACATAGACCGTAAGTCGTGAGGCCATTGAGGTTGGGATTAGATATGTGGAAGCAGTATGAAATCTCATGGGAACTGCTCACCGTGTTGAGGATGTTCAAGAGTTGGTAACTGAAGGGTTATGAAGAAGCGTAATCAGCCAGTGATCATAGTCCCAGCGCCCTCATCCGTTAGAATCTCAAGAAGCAAAGAATGTGGTGCTCGGCCGTCAATGATGTGCGTCGAATGTACGCCTTGCGCAAGGGACTTCACACAGCACTCAACCTTAGGGATCATTCCCCCAGTTACAATACCATCCTCAATTAGCTTCCGGACGCCCTTAATATTCACCTCTGGCACGAGAGTGCTGCTGTCCTTGTGATCCAGCATCAATCCCTGTACGTCTGTCATAAGAATTAACTTTTCTGCACCTAAAGACGCAGCAATCTCTCCCGCCGCGGTGTCGGCGTTGATATTATACGCCTGCCCGTCGTTGTCGGCGGCAACTGTAGCAATAACAGGGAGATGGCCGCTGTTCAATATTCCTTTCACCACGCTTGTGTCCACGGCAGTGATTTCGCCTACAAAGCCAAGGTCATCACTAAGAGGCCTAGCCTTAATAAGTTTTCCATCTTTCCCACACATTCCAACAGCGCAGCCACCCGCCTTGTTGATAAGCGAGACAAGAGACTTGTTCACCTGCAATCAAGAATATGGGGTCAAGCACAATCAAGTACAATTGGACGCAAGGAACATAAAAGTGTCACAAACTAAATAGATAATAAAGCCGATATCAAGCTAATTAAGATTCAGAAACATGTGTTATACTAATGCCTACACATGATTTACAAAATTCACGTAACCAAGTGCTACAATCCACAAAGACGATGACTTTGCTGGACGGTTATAAAAGCCTTGGAGATGACACAGAAAGACCATTCAAAAAATCAGCAACCATAGCATCAAAGAGGAAATCCATAACTTCAAGAAACGATTTTTCAGTTACAGTGTGTGAAGTTCACATCCATCATTCAGTATACTACAAGAAATAATTTGATGATAACGCAGAAAGTGATAAGTTTCCAAAATTATACTCATCCCAAGAGGATAACCAAACCTAGTTTAGAATCAAATTTATGATGAAATCCTTTCCCATTTAACTCCGCCTGTGTAAAACCCTGGACTACTTGATCGGTCAAATACAGAATATCCACACTGTTATTGGCCACTCAGATCACAGAACGAGGCGAACAAGGCGAATGCTAAAGCCCTTCCCTGCCGTCAACAAGTAGGCTGATTTCTTCAACAGATTTGGAACACATTGCAGCTGATTAGCAAACTTGAGCTCTACAGCATAGACCACAATGCCAAAGAGGTGAGCAAGGCAGAGATCAGCATTACTGATCCAAAAAACCCTAGAACAGGGTTTAAGATAAAACGGGATAGACAGTGCTCACCTTGCCAACAAGGACCATCTCCACAACTTCCATGGTGGCCGCATCAGTGACGCGCAAGCCATTTTTGAAGTGAGGCTCAATGCCAAGCTTTCCAAGCCACTGATTAATCTCCGGGCCTCCACCATGCACCAACACGCACTTCATGCCCACACAAGACAGGAGCACCAAATCCTTGATGACTCCATCTTTCAGAGACTCATCCTTCATGGCCGCCCCGCCATACTTAACCACCACGGTCTTCCCTTGAAACCTCTGGATGAAGGGCAAAGCTTCAGCTAAAATGTCCACTCTCTCTTTCCCTGTGTACTGACTCGTTCTCACAGCAGCTTGCCGCGCAGTTTGGTCAGTCACTGCCTCCACCCTAGCTCTCTGAAACCTCGCTTTCTTCGCAGGATAGGAAAACTTCACGCTCGACGTGCCCTTGATCAGCTCCGCAGGCGCCGACCTAATCCCAATCGGTTCTTTCGCTAGCACAGTGCTTACGGATTTCCACGAAGCCATCGCGGCGTCTCCGCAAATTCAAAATCCTCCGGAAACCAATTCCACCAACTACTACAATACAAGAAAAACACAAGAGGCGCTTCCAACACGGCACACTGTGGTTCTAAATCCTGAATGTAATCACAATGGGATCGACTCTAAGACTCCGTTGCAGATCCGACGACGTCGAAGACGAGCTTTTGGTTTATCTTTTACCTTTACCGGCACGAATTCCCCGCGTCTTTTTTCCTCCCTCTCTCCCTAAATCCTGAATTCCCTACCCTGAATTATTCCCACACAGATCCTCTCCCTCTCCTTCTACTCCGTCGATTGCCGCTGCTCCCTCAGGCCTCAAAAACCTGATGCATTTGCTCGCTCGCAATCGCAATCGCAGTGGAGCTCGAGCTCTAGAACTCCATGGCCGTGGCCACGAAGCAGGTCTACAGTCGTCCCCTTCATTGCATGCCTCACACCTGAGCAGCGTTATTCCCTTCCTGTAAAAGAATTGAACAAAAAAAAAAAAAAAAAAAGAAAAAAAAAACAGAGGATTAATCAGGATTTTGGTCCCTCTGTTGTTTGTGTGTGGATGTGTTTTAGTAATGCAGTTTTTAGTGACAACTAATGAGGATTCTCTGGCTTAGACTTTGATCTCATGGTATTGGCAAAGTCGAATGTGGGTGGAAATCAGATTTGACGCATGTTTTATTTGGTTGTGAATTTTAGTTACATAGGTGATGCTTTGTGTTTTGTGAAATTCATTGTGCATGTTTTCTATGAATAATCTTTGTTTTGTACTTAATTGGGATTGTGTTTTTATACCGTTCTTTTTAAAGCAATTTTGGATAGTCTTGAGCATTCAATGTTAGTCACATCAATCTTCAATGCTATTGATCAAATATCAAATTATACTCATCCCAATAGTTTCCTAATAGTTTTCGTATTAAATATCCAAACACCATTTTTGTAGCATGGAACTTCACTATCATTGAATTATCATGAGTCTTGATAAGACAATGAGGAATGTGCATTGAAAAGAATGTGTTTACTGCTTTTTGAAACTCTGTTTGGTCTTAATTTTCAAATACTATAATTCACTCATGATTGTTGTTATAAAACTCATCAAATAATAATATTAGTCAAAAATGCAAAGACAAAGATACTAGATTTAAAACAAGATAACACTTACATTACTCCAATTTTTTTAGAATACATGTTTTTAATATGATTTTATTATTAATTTATTTTATTACATAATACTACCATTAAACTTTTTTCTTGCATCAATTGTTGTTTTAAAACTATGCAATTTTTTAAAAATAAAGTCAAAAAAGAAAATTTTGATATCTCAATTAAAAATTGACCAAACATGTATATAAGTGAATTTTTTGGAAGTTCATCATATTTACCACAATGCATTCAAATTTATTATAAGATAAACATAATTAATTCAAAAGAAATTAATAAAAAATGCATAAAAGTATAGATTATTTGATTATTTGATTATTATTTATATATTATTATTGATTATTATTATTATATCAAAGTGTCATCAACAAAAAAAACTTGGGCTTTTAAAACATTTTATTGTATTGTGATCCTATCAAACAATAAATAAAAAATTATATTCTACAATACTAGAATTTTAAAATATTAGATTTTATAAATCATTGACATAAAATTATTATACTTTTTTCTAAAAGAAAATCAGAATAAAAATTAAATTAAAAATATATAGAAACATAAGTTGTGATCTTTAAAATATTCAAATGACTTACAATATTTAAGATATGTTTAAAACTTAGAAGTCTTTATGTTGTATTTCTTTAAAATTGTTTTGTACTTATTTTGAAGTTTGTTGTGTAGGGTTGGACATGCTCAACCTTTGAAGGTGCTTGGAAATGTTGATGGATGTGCCATTTTTGCTTATATATGCAGTGCATGCAGAGTTTTGTGTGAATTTAATGGGAGATGAATCATATGTTGCATAGAATTATTTCAGCTGGTTTTTGCATGTGTTGGGGTGTTTGTGTAATTGTAGGTTAGAATAGTGGAGTGGTCTTCTAGAATTGACTTGTTAAATGTTGAAAAGGTTTGAAAGTAAGGAACAATGTAGGTCCTTGCTTCTTCTACTCTTGGCCTGTCAAATTTTTGCTCCTATGATATAAAGCAACTTAAGAAGGTTGTGCAATTTTAAAAGAGATTTTGTAGTAGTGTATTTTCGTGTCATTTTGACTTGGTACATGTAGATGATTTTAGGCCTAATTGTGATAAAAGTTTGGTTTTGTAGATATGGAACTAAGTTCTTTATTATCATTATTCATAAATGAGGAATTATATCATGGGCAACTGTGGATAGAAGTAGGTCTGATTCACACTGACAAAATTATTGGATTTGTCACAATGCGAGCTATTGCCACTTTGGAGGGTAAAGTGAGTCCTTGGACCTCAAACAAAGGTACTGCTACAATACACATTTTTTCATGATCTATGTGAAGCTCAGCTTTTTGTGACTATGTGATATATGAAGCATCTATGTGAAGCTCAATTTTGGTTGTATCCTCTTTGACATTGCAAAAATATTCTTCTCTTGAGTTGGATAATGAGATCAATGATTAGATCTTTTTTTTGATAACTGACATCACTATCAAAGTTTTTTTCATTTGGAATACTCAAGAGATTGCTAATGTAACTTTGTATCCTCAGCTTTCTTGGTGCAATCATAGTGTTTTTTATTTGTTTCTTATATATAGGCAATTCTTGACCAAAGACACACATAGTTCTTTTCACAAGAGGAGTTATACAATGCTCTGAAGCTTGTTACAGTAGCAAAGGCAAAAAATAGAGCTTACATTAGAGGTGATAAAGGAAACTTTAATAGGATCAACCACTGGACAGCTTCTCCCTCCATGCATGATACCAATGTCCTTTTCTAATGCCAAAGGAATACATGCTTTGCAGATCTCTCAATTAACAACATTGCCAAGCAAATTTTCTATTTTCAACTCCACATCTTTGAAGATTCCTCAAGGCCTATTATTCTATAGCTGAATCTTTGAGAACACTTTCTCATATTGTTAGTAATTTTACATAGATATTTTGAAAAAATTGGAAATATTTTTATGCCTCATAGAATTATGTATTACTACCATAGACTAGATGAGTGCTTCAGTCTCTTTTTAACTTTGTACTTCTAAGTGAATTTCAATATTAAACAATGCCTTTCTAATTCTTTATATCATGGTTTATTTTTGCTAGTGCATAATATCCTTTTATGGCTGGAAAACATTTGATCATGTAGAAAGGAACAATTTTTATTACTTCTATTTTTCTACAATGGAAATGAACTGGTTTTGATTGCAAAAGTAGAAATTCATCTAATATCTAAATAGAGGTACCAAGAGAACTGTGGATTACAACTTATCTGTTTTTATGAAGTCAAAACTACATTGATGTGCACATGTGCACAAAGCATAGATCCATCATTTGGAACAAAGAACCTTTGAGGTATTTGAACATTTCATCAACATTTTCACATTCTCAAGTCTCATGTGTTACCAAATTGTATTACCTGTGATCAAATATTTTTGTGACAGCGACATGGGTTCAAGTAGTATATATATATATATATATATATATAAAGCATAATTTATCATTTAATCAATTATTTTTATCCCTATTTTAACTTCTAAGAAGTTTGATTCTAAAATATTGTAGAAACTTTTTAATCTTAACAACCTAGTAGTTTAAAATGTGAAATATATAATTAATTTTTTTCACCAATCATATGGCACATGCACCAAATAAAAAATGAATTAAGAAATCTTTTAATGAACTTTTACCACCAGCACCAACTACTTAAAAATAATGATGGTGTTCCATTTCAGCAAATTTTATTGTAGAACCTCTTTTTTTTTTTTTTTTTTTTTTTTTTTATTAAGTTGATTTAAAACCATAAGTATGTTTGTTAACTAGCTGACCAAAAAGAGTTTGTCGTTTGACTGAATATAACGATAGCTTAACACACACACATACAACTTCGAAAAAGAAGAAAAAGAAACGTGAATTGATTTTAAAATATGTCAAAAAAACAAATTTTAAAAATCACTGTATAATTAAATTCTTACAGTTATGACTTGCACAAACATTAGATTTCAGGATGATTTTCCTGGGATAAAAAAGGGAAGGTTTCACTCAGGAAGGATCATCCAAATAGGGTGAACTAATGAGGTGTTCGTGGAAGCCATAGTTAAGCCCAGACACTTGAGGAGCTTCCAACACAGACATTGTTATCATTCCAAGGTAACGCATCACCCGATTTGCGAGTTATATCCGCAACGCAAAGTTTCCACTGGACTTTCAATCTTGTGCTGTGAAGAAATGAAACTTCAAAAGACTAAAGAAAACGCATGTGTCAATTCACAGCGGCGGTCATCGTCGGAGCAACGACTTTGTCTCATTATTCCGATAGTGAAGTCATACAGCATTCTATTGCCCAAAAAACTGAAGTAACAGAGTGAAAGGAAACTCTCAGCGCTTCGTATCATTGTATCATTTATCCAACACTACAGTTCAGGCACACTTTCCATACAAAAAGATACAAGACGCAGCAGAATCAAATGCAACAAAGGGTCAGTAGTACTCGCATTCCCAGTATCAGCTCTCGAAATCCATGTTATTATCTTATCCAATACGAATTGCGAGATTCAGGAGAAATAACTCACAGATATCCATCAAGCAAAGCATAAAGCACAGTTTCGTCGTGCCAATCGAAACATAAACCAAAACTCGTGCACAGTGTTTCTCGTACAGATCCGCAATCTCACACATGCCTCCACAGACTCACACGGAACTGTGAGAAGAGTTTTAAGCAAGAAGCTGGCTCACATCCACTCCCTACCACGAGCGCTGCATGCATCGAGCGAGTACTGAATCGGCAGCGAACTCCATCGCTGCAATCTCAAGCTCACTCTGTTGCGATGTGCGACTCGGAGCACAGTATAGATATGATGCTAGAACGGCGCCCATGACCGTGGTATGGTGACAGGCTCGGGACGCGGGCGGGGCTCGGGTGGTGGAAGAGAACGGGTGAGACGAGGGGGAAGATTGAGGGGGAGGAATTCTGAGGTGGGTGAACTCACCTTAGCCACCCGGCTATTTTCCCGAACCTAGAACCCTTCTCCGAACCACATCGCGAGCCTCAACTCTGTTCACATATTGGCTACTTCAAATCCTGTCTCCATGGCTCAAACCAGTTCAGAAGCTAAGAGTGATTCTACGTACTACCATGGCGGATGATGATGCGTCATGAAATCGTCGAAATTCGGGTCGAGGTCTCGGCTTTGAGGCGGTGGTACTGTGAATCATTGCTTTGCGTAGTTTGCCGGTGGGGTGGATGAGAGGAAGGAGGAAGAGGGGATTTGCTACCGATTAGAGTAGAGTTTGAAATGTTTAGAGTGGGATTTAGTTACAATTGACCGATTGTGTCCTTCGGGATTACATGAGCTAGGTCGCGTTTTGCCATTGCCGCATGTTTTTTCTTGTTTTCAGCCTTTAAGTGAATTAGGTCTTTCTTTCTAGGCATTAGAAATGTAAATATTGCTGGAGCGTCGTGAGCCATGAGTATTTCGATGAGGATTGCAGTCAGATGTCAACCATGGTTGACAGTGTTTTGAGCTGACGAATTGTTCTTTCGTTTGAGCATTTCTATCCAGAAAGAGCGGAGAGTGGAGGTTGCAGTCATAATTGGATGTGGAGGAGTGGGATTTGATTTCGTTCTAGATTGGTCTTGTTTCTTAGTTGGTAGAGTGGTAGACAGAAACAAATGGAAACATGCGCATTGAGTGGAGTTTTGCATTTGGAAAGAGTGAGGGTCACCCCTATCCTGGGCACTAGCAATTGTAGCGCTTTGAGAAGGGAAGAGGCGAGAGACATTGAGCGGAAGAAATTAGGGCGTGCCATGCGGTCGCAATTTTTCGGAAGGCAGCAACTGACGGGAAGGATACAGCCAATATTTGATGTAGGCTATTCTCAAGGTTGCAACCTTAACCGTCAGCTCCGTAGCGCTTACACAACCACAGAGAAAATTGTTGGGGGTCTGACTCAGGTGAAGGAAACCGGCAAACGAAGATTGATATTGCTCCGCCATGCCAAGAGTTCATGGGCAGACCGTTCATTGAAAGGTATTTCTGGACTTGATTTAAATTTTTTTCCTCTGTTTTTGGATCATTTCCATGTCCGCGGAGTGGTTTTCACTAGAAATCATCCCGTTCTTGGTTTAGGATAAGAATTCAGTTAGACCATACATCGAACTGCTGCAAGGAATTTGGTGTCACGGAAAAACTCCACGATGATCGAAAATAGCGTCAGTGATAACAAGAACTCGACTCCGTGTAGATGGGAATCAATCCACCGTTGCAGTGCTGACAATGGGCGGGAAAATTATTTGCCCACACATTTACTGTTAAAGTTAGGATTATTTTATTTTATTTTATTTTATATTTTTTTTCTCGTTTGGTATCCCATACGAAACACGACAACAGAAAAGACAATCATGTTGTGTATGCAAGCTTGTCATGATTGCATTATATCCGGCATTTGAGTCTATGAATTCCTGGAGATTTCCGTTGATGACAATGTAGAGTTGGAAAATTTAATGCGACGCCTCGATTAAAGAGTATACGTCCCACTATCTTTTACCATGGATGAATTAACTCGTGTTCTCATATCTCGATGCTACAATGGCAGATCACAAAAGGCCGCTGAGCAATAAAGGTCGTTTAGCAGCAGCTAATATTGCAAGCAAATTGGAAAAGCACAGCTGGGTGCCTGGACTCATCCTTTGCAGGTTTGTTGTGTCACCTGACCTTCCAACTGGTACAGTACTAGGATCCTCAGAGTATTCGAACCTGGTTGTATGAGCCATGGAGATGGGGGTTTTGGACGCTGGAAAGTGGCTTAAACGGTATTTTCCGTACTAGAATTGAATCATATGAACGTTGTGATTACATGAAATGCTGTTATTTCCAGCTTATTCATAAGATGCAGCGCTTAAGTCCCTTTTAAACACAAAAATCAACTCCAAAAGATGTTCCAGCAACCTGCGTGTTTCCAGGATTTCAAAGTGTTTGAGCTCCGTGTTCACACCCAAGAATATCAGCATTGCCACTTACTGCTTGTTCAGAATTTAAAGAGTTGTGGATAAATGTTTGGATTGCAGTGACTCTCAAAGAACACGGGAGACGTTGCATATTATGCAAGGACGGTATAGCGCTTTGGCAGATGCAGATGTTCGGTTTCTTGGCAGCTTCTACTCTGTGGCAGCTATGGATGGACAGACTGCCCAACATATTCAGGAGAATGTGCTGAAATACGCTGGAGATGACATTACCACCATCATGTACTTGTTGCTTTGAACTATATTTTTATAGCGCTGGGGAATGATTAAGAGCATGTCTCAGTCAAGACTAAAATTGATTTGTAACTTATTCAGTGAAGACTGCCCTTGTTAGCTTCATTAGTTGACCTGGTTTTTCCGGTTTAATTCGCAGTAAGGTAATGGTTGCTTCGTGCTGAAGATTGGATCGTTGGCTGCACAGGTGTATGGGACACAATAGAGGTTGGGAAGAGGCTGCTAGTCAATTTTGTGGCGTTGCTGTTGAATTGAAGACTGCAAATGCTGCTCTTCTGGAAGCTCCTGGCATTTCATGGAAAGAAGTAAGTTATTATTTTTTTACTTCTAGGATCGAAAATCTATTATGAAACAATGAAACTGAACTTTAGCTTTTGCTTCAATGATGACTGCGAGTATTTATCCTTAAACCTCGCAATTGGTGTTGAACAAGACAATAGCATGAATTCAGAGAGCTAAAACTGGGAATACATCCATAACAGAAACTTACGGCTTCTGATTCTGCTGCGTCTGCACTTTATTTTTGTTTGTATGTTCATGTTCTGAATTATATTTATTTTTCATCAAGTACCTGGCAATGCACATGGGACATTGTCGGTGGATGCAGGCAATCCTTTGTATTGTATAAGGGGCCTTCATGGAATTGGCCTTAGTACCTTTTTATTTTGTCAGGTCACGTAATATTCAGAGATCATATTAACGCTTTTAAGAAGTGATGACTACATTAGCCAGTTAGTTGCACAAGATGTCGTGTAGTTGAAAGTAGTTGTGTGACATGTTGCTACTTTGGAACCTATTTGGTCACTTCTATTTTTTTCATACTGACGTTTCTGTATTATTTTCTTGATCATCAGGCATTTGAGAAAGCTGGAATGGGAGGCTGGAAGCTAGTAGGCATCATGAAGCCAGATTCTATGTCTGATATCGAGTATGAGGCAGCATAGTTGGTCTTCCAAGTGGCAAGTTTTGTTGTAGAGGGATATGTTTTCTGTCAAGTATGACACAAGGTCCGCTCAAGCCTTGCATGCTTCCAGAACATGTTGAATACTAAGTTCCACCGAGGACATCGATGACACTCATGCCGCAACCTCGTTGTTGTGAAGTTCTTGCTCCTGGGTGAACCACGGCCAGATCCATTCCTGGGTCGTTGATGTTTGTAAAACTTTCAGTAGGTTCCATTTGAAGCTGTTTCAAATATTTTAGAATAATCCATAATAATCGACTTTTCTTATCGAATTATGCGTCACGAAAAGTTTAGATAACATATTAGCTCGACTTCAGAAAACCCAACACTTCAGAGAGATGGTACGAGAATGTGTTACCCTTAACGAGTGCTGATTCAATCTTAAAATCGATTACATCACTTATGACTGCTATGAATTATCACGAACTGATTCTCACCGGGCACCATCCACCGGGCACCAGCACTTTGTCCGCAATCATCACCGTCGCTTATCTAGAGAATTTGTGACCATAGTGAGTAAAATGTGCAAATATGACTCAATTCAGTCTTACATATCACCCAGTTCACTCAATTTCATGTAAGAACTCTGTAGTTAATGCTACTTGCATTTGTAAATAAAGGCATCTATTAATGTATTTGTAGAAAGCAATGTTTTTAATGGGTTTTTTTAAAGTTCAAATTGTTTTACCTCATTGGTTTCACAATTTTTACCTCATAGCTATGATTAGAATTGTTAATGCTTAAATCTTTCAACTATTGCTTGGTAATCCAAACTTGGCCAAAGAAAAGAAGTACAAAATATTAGATCCTTTAATTTTTTATAGCACAAATTAAATTGTGAGGTGATGAAAATGTTGCAAAGGTATAATATGATGAAGAATTATAGAAAAGAGACATTTGAAGTATAAATTAGAATCTATGGTGTATAAAAAAACACATTCAATCTATTGGTAGGACCAATTTAGTAGAGTTGTATTAGTTGATGGTTTGAAGTTCTATAAAGTAATTAGAATTTTGTGCAAGTTTTTAGGTCCATAATTGCAATGACATCCTTCATTAGGTTTACAAAAGATTGTAAGTTATTATTTATATGTGTCTAAATGAGTTATTGTTGTCATTTAATAGCTAGAAATATTTATGCTATATTTTGTATAATATAATATTATGTCAAATCACTCAAATGTTGTTGAGGATTGTGTCTTTCTTATAGGCCACTGTAATGAAGGTAAATAATAACAATTTTTTCATAGACTTTCTAGGACTAAAACAAAAACCATTTGCATAGGAATTATAAAGATTTTTAATTAGTAGAAGTTAGAAAAAATAGGATTCAGATAAAAATTATATTTATATTTAAATAGAAGCACTTTACAAGTATTATAGAGATTTTTCATTTGTAAATTCTGAATAAAATTTACTACAATCAAATAAGATTAAAATTAAATTTCAATTTTTTTATAAATAACTATTTAATTTTCATTGATAAGTACATATATTAGTTTAAATAACTAATTTAATAAAAAATATATTATAAATCTAAATAAATACCTTAAATATTATATATATATATATATTCATATATCTATGTTTTTTATGACATTAAAAAAATTGAACCATAATCTAAAATCAAAATGTATACAAATGCAAAAAATCCAAAATAAAAATAAGAAATATTCATGTTATATACATAATAATGTTTAAACAACCAAAAAAATAGTGCAAAGTAAAATTTCAATTTAGACCTAAATAGTTGTAACTATATAATATATAATTAAAAACACATAAAATTCATGAATTCTAAATTTGATATGTGATTAGGCAAAATAATATTAAGACTTCATGCTAGTATTTTGTGTAGTATAATCAACATATCTTTAATAGTTTGTATGATAATCCCTAGTGAATTTCTACAAAGAACTTTACATTTAAGATGTTTTGTTGTGGTAGGTATGCCTTGCTTTATGCTAGCTTTAAGATTTGTATCAAAAACACCAGTGGACAAACATTTCTTAGAGATTTTTTGCCATTGTTCATTTTCAATTTAATGAGTCTTTGTTCACTTGCAATTGGTAAATGGATAATTTTTAAAAATAAAAAGTAAATCAAACCATTCATAAATATAATTATATCTTACATCAAATACTTTAATTTATAAAGGTACAAACTTAAAATTTTTTAAATTAAAAAAATAAATCTAATTATATTTTTTAATACTAAGTTTAATAATCTTGAAACTGAAATTTTATTTATTAGATTAGACTTTACAATCTTAGAGGTCGTTTTAATAATATCAATATAATTATATTGGCCATTATTTCTTCTTTATTTCTATGATTAAAATAGTTAAAATAAAAATTATTTGTTTTATCTATACAAAACTATTTTTAACTTTTTAAAAGAATCTTCCTATAAAATATATGCACATTCTAAATATTTTTGACTAATATTATTTTTTTCAAGAAAATTAAAGAAACAAAAAAAATTTCAAAACTTAAATCTTAAAAATAAAATATTTAATAGTTACTTTAAATAAAACAGTAACAAGAATCTATATGCGTTTTCTCAATCAACAATCACAAACTTCTAAAATTTGGTTTCTCTTGGATGTTATAATGTTTATTGCCAATGAATGTTTTTAAGGCATAATAGTTTTTTTTTTCCTTAATCTTGTCTATCCAAATTTAAAGTATGAAACTGATATTTTAGATTTTTGTATGCATTCTTTTAATTAATTTAAAAAAATTAGATGAGTTCAAGATTAAAATCACAAGTATTTATATGCATCAAACTACTTAAGAAAATAAAAATAATATACATTTATTTATTTATTTATTATTATTTTTTATAAATTTATTTATGTAAAATTTTAAAATTTTTAAAATTTATGTAGAAATACTCAAGCATATCTTATTCTTTTTAATATAACTTCTTAAAAGTGCATGACATAAGTTCATTGATTAATTAAGATGCTTTATTGTGAAGTTGGCTTTGAAAACCTTAAAACTCTTATAACTAAACATCTTTTTTGGAAATATTGTTAAGTTGAAAAAAATAAATAATATAAAGGTCAACTAGTAGTTTGTTTAGTCATATAAAAAAATAAAAATATTCCATATAAAAATAAATTTAAAAAATAAATTATTATTATTTAGTAATTGTATTGACTTTAGATAATAAAAAATTTAGTTGCAATTATATTTGTAGTTCAAAAAAATTATTTTGTATACAAATGAGATATATATATATATATATATATATATATATATATATATTCAAAAATTCTTAAGATATATAATTAATGTTTAAGCATCACATGTTTTTCACCCTAAAAATCACAACCAAAATTGCAATTGAAATTTTAAAAGAAATAAAAAAGAAGTAATGTAGATCCCAAACTTGCTTATATTTTAAAGAAGAACTTGGAAAAGTAAAGATAAAAACTTGACTAATTGCCAAAACAAACTTAAAGAAATGTGAAAAAAAGCTTGAAGATATTTAAAGAACTTGGAGGAAGCTTGAAAAAGATAAGTAGTGGCTATCACTTTTGAGGCATAAAATAAAAATTTAATATCATTCACATATTATTTGATACAAATAAAATTAATTGTGTTTTAGATTTTACAATGAAATATCTAGTCTTTATTATAAGAATCTAAAACCTACCAAAATATGATTGACATGCTATAATATATATGATACCACCATCTCTTTAGTTAGTGATATCATCTTCTATCTTCTAGGTCCTCCTGTGGTACCATGATTTAAAGGGTTGAACCTTTGATTACACTTTAAATCCACATACTTCTATAGATAAAAGAGAAAAAAGAGAAGAAAAGAAAAGTAAAGAATTCCATTCACTTCAAATAATAAACTATTTGTCACTTGGATTCAAATATAATACAAGAAAGTTATAATCAAATCTAGTTGAAAGATTGATAAAAGTTTACTATATAATCATTTTAAGATAAAATAGAACATTAATTGGAATTCTTATCTAATAACCTTTTTGTAATAGTTATTGACTTTCCAACTACTTAGTCAACTATTTTCCAACTTTAAATCTTTATATTAAACAGTAATAGAAAATTTACTATTACTGTTTAATATAAAAATTATATTCATATGAAATAATTTATAATACATATATCTTAATTAATATTCAAATGAAAACTATAAGAGCATATTCTAAAAAAATTCTATTTTATTATATTTTATTATATTTTAAAATAATATTTTAAAATAATAAAAATATTCCATAAATAATATACTAATTCAGAATAAAATTTATGATTTATTTATTTTGAAGTTTTGTGTTTATTATGTATATTAGGAACTTTTCTTTTTATTATTTTAAAGTTTGGTTTAATTTTTGGATATTCTTAAATTGAATATATATATATATATATATATAATACTATATTTCTCTCTTTAATTTTACTAATCGTTCTGTACAGGTGTATCTCAATTATTGCTATTCTAGTATAGTTTTTTTGTAGTGTAATGCAAAGAATAGTTTAAATTTACGTACAATCTCAATAATCTAAAGTTACCATTGAACACCGCAGCATTCTACCAAACAAACCCACATGTCACAAAACCAACATGTTAAGCTTTTGACCAACTGGTTCTGCACCATATGCATTTCTTCAATCATCTTCAATATTTGTAAGACTTCAGGCTTCCTTGCTCATGGACATCGCAGATGAGCAGGCTGTCATTTCGGAGATGAAACGGGAGATGAATCCCACAGCATCTGGTCAACACCGAATTCAGCAGCTTGAGCACAACTCAGAATCGTCATCAGAAAACCCAGCTAATAAATTTCCAGAACACAAAGAATCACGTTCGTGGACATAGATTATTACAACTGCATACTGGTTTAATTTTGTTTTTGTTTTTGTTTTTCTGTTGAGCACGATAATGTCATGCACAAATCTGGTTATGCATAACCAGTTCTTAATCTGCACTGAAACAGTGATCTGCTTCGGAAACTAGGAAATCTTTGCAAGCCAGGAACGCCTGAGATGACGACCTCAAGTATGCCCCGTGATGAGAGCTCCGCACTGGATTGCTAAGGGCTCTCATCTAGAAAGGGGCACCTGGAAGAGGCTTCCCAGAGACGAAGGCCCTGAACACTTGCAGTAGGCGGCCAGCTTCCAGGAGAGGTACTTGGTGGCCGGCGCCGCGAACAGTCACGAAAGTCAGCCCATCGTAAACCACAGTACGTCCACCCACCTGCATCTCCAACTCTCAGAGTGAATTGTGCTCTTGCAAGTTTGGAAATAATGGAACATGGGAAGGGTACGCAGAAGTGGGACCAGGTGGTTCAAGCAGCTTGACGTTCTCAAGAGGTTTGCGGTGATGTGGGGGGTGTGTGGCAAACTTGGGCATGGAGATGTGGCCAACCTGCTGGTAATCATACCAAGGATGCCATGGTTTCGAAACAGGCAATTTCATGGCTTCGATTGAGTATCGGGTTGAAGTCACAGGCACAACGCTGTCTACGTCCCCACTGCATGCACTCACATTCCAACTTTCATGGAGTAATCTCTTTCTGACTCTTTCCAAACCGAATGGAAAACTACTCACGTCGCAAAAAGGAGGATTTCGCAAAAAAGTCACTGGAATTTAATCAGCTTCGCAATGATGAACAGAATATTAGTCATCGCTACAGAATGGCTTCACTACTCACTAAAGAAGACCATGCATGGAAAAAAGGAAATAGTTAAAAATTACCTGTAGATCCAAATCTTAAGTCCTGCGGCGATTAGGTAATGGTAAGTTGAGATCATACTTTGAGGTGCGTCAGTCCAGTTTGCATACAAAACGTTACTGCGATTTCCCCACCATTATTACGATGGAATTTGAGAGTAGTTTGGGAATCGAATCATATGAAAATCCGACGAAAAATACAGTTATAAAACTCGTTAGAGCTCAAGATTAAAGCTGGAAGTCCTCCTCACCTACACATCGTCCAGCGGTAAGGGATAACACCGGTAGTGTTCGCATGCAACGCAAGCTGAACATCCGGTCTGTTAAAGTAGACCTCGGCATTGTCCTCAGAGCACGGATCATATCGCGCCCTCATCCCACGATCCGTCTGGACACTGGAAAAAAATCAGACTTGGGATTGCTATGACAGCTGAGATGGCCGCATTCAATCGCTTACTCAACGAATACCGCCTTTATCAAGACGATTCATAAAACCAAGCAAGTGAAACTAGATGATATATGGAATCCTCCTGAAACACATGAAACCATGAGCATAAACCAAACTCACTGGGGTTTTCCGCGTCCATGACCTGCTTTGCATTGGTTTTGCGTTACTCCGAATGCACCTGTCTGTGTAGATGCTGTAGTAGTCGATATTTCCAATCTCAAAATTCATGGTTGCGAAGAATTCTTCGCAACGCGTTGAGCAACAGTTTTCATCGGAAAAGTTGCAGTTGGCCTTTAAGCCGTTGTATGTTTCCGTTGAAATCATCGCATGCGAGTAGTGGAAATCTATGTCGCCAGTTTGATCCCAATAATTATCAATATCAGGGTTTCCGATCTGTTCTCAGTGCACACAATTTTATAGGAGTAACATCGACATTCAAACCAATATCTCCTATATAAACCACATTAGCGACTCTGCATGTGAGGATGTTTCCAGCTATGAAAACATTTTCCTTCGCAGATGTTTGATGCTTCTGATCGACCTGCATGAAATCTTCAAAATGAAAGTTCGAGCAAAATGAACGCGCACATTAAAATCAACTAATTTAGCCAACAAACAACATTAATATTTAAATTTTTATTTCGTGATCAATCCATGTTATGTTGAAAGGAAGTAGTGTTCACTGACCATGTAACCGCTGAGGTTGATTTTCAATGGTGAGGCTGAGTTGTGCTCCACAATTAGTTTGGCAAGTTGAGGAACATAATGCCCTGCATAGATGAGTGTCGAATTAATTTGTCAATGTAAAAACTTACCCGTTTACTCGAACTGTCACACAATCAATCGGATTTCTTAACATGGAAGCCACAGGACTTTCCTAATTAGGAGATGAATTTCGGTAACAAGTGGATTTATAGCAAGATAAAGATCACGCGACAAGTCTTGAACCAAGTCTATTTTTGTATATAGCAAGAGCAAATGTTTGTAAACAGGAGTTATGAGAATGAAGGAAGTTTAAGCCCGATACGATTGTTAGCGTAAGACGTCTTTTTTCATGGAATTTACCTGCGTAGCTTTCTCCGGTGATGTAAAACTCTCGACCGTGGTACTGTGGGAATCGACCCAACCAACCCACCAGAAAGTTGTACGCATCCTCAGCTGCACAATTATTCTTCGTGTCACTACCGTGCACGTGATTGCTCTACATCAGTACGATTAAAAGACTTCGGTGGAACGCAACGTCTTTCTAGGCTTTGGATCAATTGATTCTATCGAAATCAACCACAAGATGAAGTATTTTAAGAAGTGAGGAAGTAGCACCTGTGCGAGTGTCGCCTCCGCCTGTGTTGGCAGTCGTGTTGAGCCTGGCGTAAGAGAATCCCACTCCAGTTGGCGATTCCAACCATATCATGTTCACCTCTGCGGTGTGCATTCATTCAAACACGCATTTTTCACTTGAGAATTATCACACGGAACAAAAAAAAATCCACGGTGTACAGCTATAGGATAGGCAACGATCTAATAGTAAATTGAGGAATTGTGAGCGACTGTTGATGGAATCACGCTGGACGAATTGAATTCGATTCGAGAATGTGGTATGATCCTTCATAGTACCTGCGTTCCAAGAAAATTCGTTGATGATGAGGCTGCTACCACCGGGTAAGATCTGGAATGGCCCATTCTCTCGTGCAAATCCCGAGGCTATAGAAGAACACCCTGGGCCTGAATTCAGAAACCACAAACCTCAAACGGGTTGTTTACAATCCTCTATCCAGATGTCGTATGACCGATTGACATTCTCAAGATTTTCGTTTCTTTTTCAAGTGACTACGTCCTTAAATTGAGTTTCTGGGGTGTGTGTGTTTGGCCGCACCTCCATTGAACCAGAGAACCAAAGGTTTGGTGCCATATGTGTCGTTGGAGCACTGTGCAAATACGTAGAACAGGTCCCGTCCTTCACTCCTGTCCACAGTCACATTCCCCGCGTAGAGGTTGAATCCCACGAGCGGCTGGCCGGGTAATGCCGTCACTCTGTCCGCATCCTGATCCAGTGTGATGGGCATCTTATGGCTGTGCGCTCTACCTCCAATCAAACTCCTGACGAGCAGGAGCGCAACTAGAAATTGGAACATTGCCATGTTATGGAAAGTGAGGAAAAAAGTAACGAATGACTGGCGCTTATTCTTCCTCAAGTACATTTTGTATTTGTAGATGTCTCGAGAGCTGGAGAAAAGCTACGGCGAGCGGCCTCTCCCTTTCCTCGGTGGTAGTGTGGGTTGAAGGACGGATCTCGAAAGGAATCTCGACACGAGAATTACACCATTCTCTAATGCTCAACGGAGTAATCACCATCTTGATCGATAACGCGAAGGTAATGTGGCATATCTCAGAAAACTGGTGTGTTGTCAAGTCTCAAAGCTCCAGATTGGGGCAACGATGAGCAAGATATGGAAAACAACAGCAGAGTCATTGTCTCTCGTCACCGTCACCTACTCAAAGCACCATAGAATCCTTTCGGCATCAAACAGGACATAGATCGTGTCATATTCCTCCGAGTCAGCATCACTGAGCATTCATTACATAAATTAACGACTGGCCTGAAAGCAATCCTGGAGTAATTTATTGCACAAGCACAAAATTGTGAAGTGTACAAAAGCATCACGGGCATCGTGGTGCGGATAACCGCTTTCGGTCTCCAAAACCGGGCATCTCCACTTGATTAATGTATGAAAACGGTGCGACTTAATCTGGCAGTTGATAAAAGCTGATTAGCTCAGAATAGACCATTCTCAACCAAAACCTCAAGTGGCGCCGACCCCCAAGCAGCAAATCTCACCGCCTTCACTACGATCTCTGCTAACTTTCTCCACTCCATCTCGATCTTCCTCTCTTTCCTCAAGTCTCCCAAACGGAGTCTCTCCGATCCGCCTCATCTCTGCGGAAGACCTAGAACATAATAGACGTCTGTCGTGGTTACTCACAGCACGTTGAGGTTCCAGGGAATTCCGCATTACAAACTGGTAGCATCATTTTCACACACCATGCATCATTTCAGCTGGTAATCTTCCGATCAGCATGTTGGAAACATTATGATCAATTCTCACACAAAAAATATATTATGTGAATATATTATGTGTACAAGTGTGACACCAAGAGTCACAACTCTTAGTATAAGGTCACAATTAAGTAGATAGTATTCTATACTAGAAACTAATGCACTATATTGAATAATTCTCCCAATACTCCCATTAGAACATTAGTCTTTATATGTGAATTAAATTTCATCCATTGTGAAAGTTCATCCATAAATGTGGGAAATTTAGGATTTCAATCTCCTTTTTGGTGTAGCAATGTTGGGAAGTTTTCTTATAATTCTCCCACTGCTTCTTCAAGTTTGAAAAGGTATGTGATGTCTTTTCTTGATTTGGATGTATTTGCTATTTCAATTTTGTTTTGATTTCTTTGTTTGATGTAGGGTTGTAGAGGTGCAGCGCTATTGTGGTTAACTATCCATAAATGTGCTACTGTAGGTTTGGGCAGAGGTACAAAGGTATGCATCACTTTGGACGTCGGTCGTTATTACAAGAGTTGTGTTGCTTGCAGCCTTGGTAGGGGAGTTTGCTATGAGCTCTGTAGCAAGCGCAGTGGCGTATTGTAACATGACTATATGGTGAAAGATAATAATATGGATCTTATTATAGAAGAGCCAAATTAAAAAATAAAGCAGAAAAATATGAATAAAAGATAGGAAGGTAGTAAAACTTTTAGTAGTAAAATGCTGCCTTTTTAGACAAGTGACTTCTATTTACTTTGTAGTACCATAAATAAGGCAAAACAAAGTAGATTGGAAAAATAAATGACATAAGCATCTTTAGGAGGAAGTTAAGAGTAAATTCTAGTAAAATTTACCTAGAAAAACTAGATATTGATATCCAGAGAAGACCAGTCACAAACTAGGGTCAAAATCAGACCCATAAGGCACAAAACCAAGCCTCAGTATTGATTCCGGAGTTCTTTTGGAGATTGAAGAATAGGATTTGAGAGCTGACTTGATGACATTTCTTTGAGCATTGATTTAGAGTGATTTAAGTATATATTGAATTTGTAAGAGCTTTGCAAAGTGAGAGTCTATTTTGGGTGACTTTGGATTTGTGAAATAAAATAGGTGATACTTTTTGGAAAATTTCATAAGTTTGGCAATAGATCTATGGATGAAAATTTTTAGATTTGTGAATGTAGTTGTGCTTGATATTTGCTGTGAATTTGGATTTGATCGAATGGATAGATTAAAAGGCATGAAGGTTTTTGTGGGTTATGGTCTTAGAATTTAGGGTTTTAAAAACCATTGAGGTTTTCTTAGATATCTATAAATTTTCCAATTAGATTGAAGATTTTTTTTTTCATAGAAATAGTCAGCATGATTTCTAAGAAGCATGTAAAGTTTGGAAGCAAAGTAATAGATCAATGAGGAGTAATTGGCTTTGGGAGATTGGCATGAAGATCAGAGAAGGAGGCTAGCCAATACCCAAGCACATTTTTGAAGTTATTGTCTATTTGGTTATTTTTAATTTTTTTGTGCTTATTTTTAACTTAATTGTTAAGAGGTGTGCAAATTTTGAGTTAAAATCAATAGTTCATTCATTAGTTATTGAGGTCTAAATCTGCTAAAGAAATTAATTAAAATTGATTAGAGTTTGCTTAGGATTTGATTAGGATTTGTTTAGGAGTTGATTAAAGTTCAATTAGGATTTGTGTAGGATTTATCTAGGATTTTGTTAGGAGTTATTTAGAATTTTTTTAGGATTTTATTAAGATTTGACTAGGATTTGATTAGGACTAATTTATGATTTGTTTAGAATTTGACTAGGATTTATTAGGGTTTGACTAGGATTTATTTAGGATTTGATTAAGATTTGGTTAGAATTTGTTTAAAGTTTGATTAAGATTTGACTAAGATTTGACTAAGATTAGGTAGTAAATTTGTCATTTTTTATTAGGTGGTAAATTTGTCATTTGTCATGTATTATTTTTGTTTAAAGATGTAATTTTATCATTGATTGCTTTTTGCAATTCTTGAGCATCTTTCATCTTCATTGCTTTTTGAATGGAGTTTGAAGCTTCTATAATGGTAGAAACAAGGTGGGCTTGGTGATATCTATGACAATGATATTTATACTCTTTTGTACCTTATATATACTCTAACTGTTAGGAATCATGTACAAGATAATGATTCAAGACCAAGAAATGGAGTTAGCTCGACATTAGAACAATTACTGGATACAAGGCAAAAAAGACATGGCTAGACCACAAGAAATGAGTTGTCGAGACTGAGGATCCTCTCAACCTTGACTCCTATATATATTAGATCCTAAGAAGCTTCTTGAAAAGTTTTCATTAGGCTTGGAAACAAAACAAGCATAAGATCCTTCTTTGACAACTTCCTAAATCATCTAAAGCCTCCTAGAACCTTCTAGGATCTCCTATGAACTTTTAAAATTTTCTTGGAAACTATTAGAATCTTTTAGAACCTTTTTAGTACCTATTAGAACCTTCTGGAACCTTCTAGGATTTAAAGAACCTTCTTAGAACCTTTTAGAATCTCATAGAATCTTCTTGAACCTTCTTCAATTGTATGTCTATGACATCACCTCTTCGTTTAGCTTTGAGGTCTCAAAAAAATAATATTACTGTAAATCATTGTATGCACAAGAAGTTGAAGATTTGTTGCATAATGTTCGCTATATATTTTAATTATTTTTTGCAAGTCAAATGGTTCATAGGCCCTTGTAGCCATCAATAATATCCCAAGCCTTCTACTTGTGACCAAGCATGAACTTCGATATCTTTGTTATGGAATTGTCCTGCAAACACTCCTTCTAGATGTCCTTCATAAGTAAGTTCTACCTCAAGCACAATTATCAATGATTTATTATTGGATATCCTTCAATGTCTTCTTGGTTCACGTGGCTCATCATCTCGGGGTCATCTCCGCAAGCTATTTAGTTGAGATGGTATAATCGGTAGGGTGTCTATCTCTTAACTATCTATATTACATAAATATACAAGATCAACAAGCTATGGTCATGAACTCAAACTACTGTCTTACACTATTTTAAATATTTGAAAAAATTACTTCTTCAAAGGCTAGCTCTTCTTTTTCTTTATGAGGCCAAGAACTAAGAATCTTCATGGTGAAGCCATCTTACTAAGCTACTATTCTTTATTTTGTGGCTTTTGGTTTGGATGGATGTTTTTGATAGAACTTTTGAACCTTCATTTGTGCATTTATAAGGTTTTCAGCTAGTTTCTACATGCAACTATTGATATTATATCTATTGTCATATTATAATTGCTTATAGTATGTAAAAATTAATTAAGACATATAATATGTTTGTAAGTCTTGATGTAGATTAAAGTGGTTAGTAAATAAATTTAAAGAGAATTGATATAATAAAATTTATTTGGAAATTTATTTATTTTGATTATAGTATTTATATTATATAAGATTTAGATATTTAGTATAAAACTTAAGAGAAGATTGGAGTTTAAAGATAAAAGTCTAAACTATTAGGAGGCTTATTGGGAAGGATGAAAGCAAGGAATGGTTGGATGAAGGTAAGGGTGAGGACCTTCATTCCTATTGCTCAAATGTCATGCTTAATGGGCTTCAAGGAGGCTATCTGAGGCCTTATTAGGGATTAGGGTTTCATTTTCAAAGGCATTCGAGCTTTGGAGGCTAGGATTAATAAGTTTAGAGTTTTAGATATAATTTGGATAAAAAATTTGTGTAATTTTGAGTTTTTGTGAAGGAGATATAGGTGTTCAAAGTTAAGGTGTAAAATTTGCACCTACTATCATTCTTTGAAGCATAACATATGCGTGCAGAGAGCAATGAAAGATTGGCAATTGGAACTGGAAAGAACACTTTCTTGGCTATATTTAACATACATCGTTTGATGAATTCCAAGTCTGGATGAAGGAGTTATAGGGCATTGAAGATAGTACATGTAATTCAAAGGCAGTAAAAGAGTCATTTTGTTGATAGTAATGGTTGGAGCCATATAGGTTAAGAAGCTATAGATCAAATTTTTATGGTATATAAGTACTTATTTTGTGAGATATGAAGAAAATAGCATGTAGGTGTATGTAAGCTAGGGTTTGAAGCTACTATTAGGATTTTCAAGATATCTCATGATCCGTAATAAATTTGTAGTTGATTTTTTTTGTGGTAGTTTTTGAAAATATATTAGTACTTTATATAAAATTTTAGGTTGTTTGGACAGTCCAAACGTAAGATATAAGCTATTGAAATTTGGAAAAAATTTCTTATAAGGATATATAAGGTTTTAAGATATTTTATCATACATTTGGGTATTTTTTTTTGGTACTTGGGCTTATATATTGATGTAATTTTTCTAAAAGGGAAAATATTATATATATAAACTTGGTTCTTTTATATCTTAGACTTAATTGAGTATTTAGTGGTAGCCAAAAGCTGAACGCTGTCGTAATGTGTAAAGTCTTGCTTGAGAATGCTTTGGGCACTTGGCTGTAGAAGGAAGAATAGAAATTGCGATAACAAAATCCTAATTCTAATAGAATACTAACAATGCTCTAATTAGACTATAATAATGGTAAACAAACATAATCAAATTCAAAACAACCCAAAGAAATTTCAAACAAACAATAAAATTCTTAAAGAAATATTAGAATGATCACAAATTTTACTCAAATATATGTCAATTCAACCTTAATTTAATTCTAGTTAAAACCCTATTGAATTTCACTCAACTTTAGACCAAACCTAATTAAATCTTAAACCCTAATAATTCCTAAACCCTAAGTCAAATCCTAAATAAATCTTAAATTAAACCCTATTTCAAATCCTAAATCCTAAACCAAATCCTAAATCAAACCCTAACCAAATCCTAAACCCTAATCCAAATCCTAATCCAAACCCTAATCCAATCCTAAACTCTAATCCAAATCCTAAACCCTAAACCAAACCTTAAATCAAACCCTAACCAAACCCTAGTCCAAACTCTAATCCAAACCTTAAATCAAACCCTAATCCAAATC